ACCAGTGATCAGCATTCTGCTCCTGTTACTTCCACTCATGTGGGCAATAGTTATTCGCCACGCTAGCCGCCACTCTGAGCGCGCGAGCAGATCTGAGCCTAACATTAGCAAAGAAGCCTAATGAGGAAATATCAGCTCAGCGTGCCGCGGGCTTCCTAATTAAATCTCAACTGATTGCAGAATAAAAGCTCAACATCCTTGAGGCTTGACTAAAACTCACAGCCATTTTACTCTATTGCTCTTTAGCTATTTTCAAGGCAAATGGCCCCGTTTTGTTTTTTTCCCTCTCGTCTAACCGCTGCGCTGACCGTTTCAGTTTGACTCGGCCTGTGTTACTGACTTCCAGCCTTCAGCGAGGCGACTCAACTCATTAAATGCTTTCTTCATCGGCGAAGAAATGAGGGGATCCAAAATGTGGCAATCAGAAGAAATGAGCTCTAATTCAGAGAAGAGAAGGAGTGATCGTGTGCACTCTTTCCTTCCCCTCCACAGCCTGCCCTCCTTCACACTCACAATAACTGAACTGAGGAAACCTGAGGTCTGACTTTTACGCCTAGTACGTTATACGTTTCAGCTTCTATCTTTATGACCAATATAAATAATCAACAACGACAATAATAATAATAATAATAATAATAATAATAATAATAATTGTAAGCATATATATATATATATATATATATATATATATATATATATATATATATATACACATATATGTACTTATATGTACTTATGTACAGTATTATACTATAATGCACAAAATGATATATATATATATATATATATATATATATATATATATATATATATATATATATATATATATATGTGTGTGTGTGTAAACTGGAGTATAAAATAAACTATAAATGTGTTTGTGCGCTATATCATAAATGATAAATCGGCTGTACTGAGCTGTCTCGCGAGCGCGTTGTTCAAGGCTGAATAAATGGAAGCTGGCATTGAGCACCGCAGAGGATAATTCTGCAGGAGAGAGTTAGAGACATTCCTGCAGGGAATAAGTTGTTGACAATTAAAACACACACATGCACGCGCGCTCACCCAGAGCGTCAGTGTGCCCTGTGTTGAGACTCGTGTGTTGGGCCTCATTATCAGAAGTGTTGGTCTGCTCTGAGCATTACTGAACTTTACTGTACAATCATCTCACACTCAGTCTGATGCGCCGTGTTACAGTAACTGAGCTCTCGCTGCTCCACAGCTAACACCTCTGTGTTAATCCACACGCGCTCCTGCTGAAACCGAGAAAACAACAACATGGCACCAACGGAGAGACACAGAAATAAGATTTTAGAAAAGACCGTGATGAAATGATTTAACACCGGCTGAAGTGAGTGTCGTGATCACTCTGAAGGTACTTTTCTCCGCTGGGAGTTTGGTGGTCAGTGCTGAATGGTCTGGTGTGGGTTGTGTAATGCAGATGCGAGCAGCGAAAAAAAGAGAAAAGTGCTTTAGTCTTCACTAAAACTCCTCAAACTGTTCCGTTTTGTAATAGACGGAAAAACAAAGGAAAACTGGGGGGAGGAGGAGAACAGCAAGCCCCCAGTCCCAGGGCCTTTAGGTGGGTTATAATAAAGCATTTTCCCCGCGCTTTATTGATCAGTCACTGGGAGCTAATGTAATTATCCTCATCAATAGGGGGGTGCAGGGAGGATCATTATGTGGCTGACAGTGATAAATGATCACCGAAATGTGGCCTTTTCTCCGAGGAGCCCCCTCACATACATAACGCTGTCACAGAGACACCTCATGGCAAAGCGCACAGAGAAAGTGCTGAAACGCGCCCAAAACAGAAAACAAAAAGTGCGCGTGAATGCAATAGAAAAACAATACTCACTAAAAAAATAAAAAAAAATGGAGATTAAAAAAGTAGAAAAGACACAAAACAAACCAGAAATCACAAAAGAGATTAAACTAAATTAAAGATTAAAAAATTACGCTGGATAAAAATAATTTAAAAAGCAATGGTAATAAAAATATAAATAAATGAGTATGTAAAAAAAGAACAAGCATGTAGGGGCAGTAAATCACTCACAAAAGCAAACCAAATAAATAAAAAAAAAACAGGTAAATCAAAAAAGGGAGAAAAGAAGAGAAAATAAAAAGAAACGAAAGGTTGGAGACGTAAGAAAAAAAGAAAGAATTATCTAAAAAATAGAATTAAATATGTAGAATAAATCTAGGTATCTATGCAGGGAAAAGGAAAAAAAGGGATTAAAAACACCTCGAACATGCAGCGCTTCAGTCGCGACACGTTCATTCTCCCTCTCTCTTTTACAGCGATAAACACGTTTTCTTTTGCTCCACGTTAAGAAAGCAGCGAACGCAGGCTGCAGTGAGGAGCGCGTGCTCGGTGCAGATCTCTAATTAAAGCGGCTTTCATTAGAGCAGAGGCTCGCGCAGGCGTCTCTCCAGCGAGGTGCTGCAGCGCTGCTCTCCTCCTGCAGATCAGATATTACTCAGGGTTAAGGGTTTATTAACATGTTGCCTTTGTGCACACGGCTGCTCTCGTTTTCTCTGCTTTATTGTGGACATGTAATGTGGTTTGGGGGGGCCCGTCGTGGGGGGAGTTTGGGGGGAATATTGCGCGTTTTATTCCAGCAGCAGTGGCCCAAGTAGCTCTGACAGAGAGGAGATGAAGGGGTGGAGTTGTTTAGCTCGCCTGGATCATCCATCATTCCTGTCACACCGAATCGGCAAAGAGAAGCAGCAAAGGCAACCCAGCCTTCTGTCTCCCACAAAGGAAGAGAGGAGAAGAGAAGAAGGAGGAAAAAACTATTAATATTGAAATTCACCCTCCTCACAATAATGCATTTTTTCCTCTTTGCATCTGATGATCTCTGCCCTCAGAGCGGCAGATTTTTTTTTTTTCTGTCCGGTGTGTTCATCAGGCGTGATGGTTTGATAAATTCATTTAACGGTTAAAATTACGCTTCACCGTCTGGATGATCGTTGATCGTGAATAAGCTTATAAGTGCTAATAAATGTTTTAGTGCGTGAATAAAGAGAAAATAAATACAGATAAACAGAACCTGGTTAAAGTGTTTCCTTAAGAAGCGTTTCGGCTCAGACGAAGTCACAGCAAACGGAAGAATGGACCGTGTTTTTAAGATTTTTTAAGTGTTTTTTTTTTATCTATTATATTTAACATTACGTCACTCCTTTATTATTGATCCATATGTTAAATAATAACACCGTGGTTAGTTAGTTGTGCACAATATTCAACCCTCTGACTATAAGTACAAATAATAAAATGTTAAAGACTAGAATAATAATGTTCGCGTGAGCTCAGTGAACTCTGTATTTTTAGATTTTGGTGTAACTGAACTTGCGTGCCATCTGTGCTGCTAAACTGCTGTTAAACTGCGCGAGATTTAGTGTAAACACTATAGTGTGTAAAACAGCAAATACAGCACTTTAAACACAGACAAACAAAACAAACACATAAGAATTACTGCTCCATATTTACACCAGAGCTCTCAGGAAACAGCTTCACTATTATTATTATTATTATTATTATTATTATTATGAGTATTATTATTATTATTATTATTATTATTATTATTATTGTCGTCAGTGGTAAAAAAACGACTATTACTAAAACTACTGATAATAATAACAACAACAACAACAATAATAATAATAATAATAATAATATAATAATAATAATAATTAGTATAATTATTATTGTTGTTATTATTATTATTATTATTATTATTATGAGGCTGTCTCCAATAATAATTCTTACTGTTATTTTTATACCAGTGCTAATATTGTAGTTCATAAATATGAGTGACCTGCACGCGCACAGCTCCTTTAATTTCTCCTAAAAACTAAAAGAAAGCGGTTGAGCTCTTTTACACCGGGCAGACCAGAGCTCACTTTCTCATTCACTTTTACTCTATATTTACAGGAGAGACCTGAGTGAAGAGTGTTTAGAGCTGTAGTTGCAGGCGCAGAGCTGCAGGGCCAGCAGGGGGCGCCGCGGAGCGCTGCACTCTCCACCGCCTTTGTTCAACAGGAGAGAAAACGGCTCAGACTCTTCACCTATTGTTCCGCACTAATGCTGAGCACACAGCTCTGCGCGCTTATTAAACCATTTACATTTCCCCTTTCACAGCTCAGAAACAGCACAATAAAAATAATAAACAGTTTGAGGACGAACAGCGACATTTTGAGGGGTAAAATACCATGCTGATAATAATAATAATAATAATAATAATAATAATAGTGGTTGTTGAATCGTTATTTCAAAGCGTACACTAGAGCACACAGGATTCTAACAAAATCAAAAATGAAATATTTATTACAGCATTTTGTGACTGAACACCTTTTAAACATTACGTCACAGTCCTCATACAAGTATTTAATGTATTTTTGACAAAGCTTAAGGGAGACAGCATTTTTTTATCATCTAGTGAGGAACACGTGCTGAAAAAGGAAGGAATTCATGGACATACAATATCAATGCCACAGCAGATCTGAAACTAGCAAAAACATTCTTTTTCAATTGAGGTAAACACATAGAATATCTAACATGAAACAATTAATAGACTGAACTCTGTACGAAGTTTGTTACAATATTCTCTTAGCTTTTTCTCCAAGCTTTGAGTTCATAATTTAAGTTCTTTTTTTTCCTCTTCTTTTTTTCATTTATTTATTTTTTTTTTAAGTTTTAGGTTTTTTGGTGCATCAACCATCAATAGCTTCTCTAAGTGCCAAAGAATCCACCATGGTGTCTGTCCTGTCCATATGGTGCGTATGTTGATCCAGAGGCTTGGAAACTACTGTAGGATGTTGCTTTTCCATGGATATGCTTGCTTCCTTCAATAGGCTCTTCCTCTGAGAGTCCATGATACAAAAAAAGAAAAAAAAAAATAATAATATTAAAATAAAAATGTATAAAACCAACACAATCCAGTGCTTGGGCAATTCAAACTAAGAACTTTACCTACAGGGTAACATTCATTCATGAGCAAAAGAGGGGTGTGAAGTAAAGGTTGAGACTGAATGGTACAGAGAGAGCAGGCTTCACTCAGCAGCCTCTCTGGCAGAGTGCTACTTCTGGTCCTTACCGGAACAGGTCCGCTGCCCGCTCTAGTGTTAGTGTTAGGGCCGAGATTTCTGAGATGTTTGTTTATTTTCTTTCTTTCTTTCTTTTTTTATTGCTGCGACGAGACCATCTCTCCCTCAGGGAACAGCACACACAGTGTGAAAAGCAGGGGTGGGAGGGGGGTTAACCTTTTATTCTAGGACTAGCTCAGGAAAACAGAAATGGAGTGATCAACAAAAATGCACAAGTTTTAACTTAGTGTCTATACTTTTATACTACAGTAGTTATAACTCTTGGAGTCTCTTTTGTCTTTTTTTTTCATCTTCCATAACGATTTCTTTAAAATGGTTCAAACGAGAGCACGCGTATGTTTCTGCTTGTGTTGTGTGAGTGTGTGCACGAGTGTGTGAGTGTTTATTTGAGTTTGCACTTTCATGTGTTCAGTTGAAACATCTTCCGTTGATCTTTAACAAAAGCCCAAGACTTTACAAAGTGTTCTTGTCAGCTTGGTCCTCTGTCGATGAAAGTAACAAAATTGACAAGATAAAAAATTATCACAGCTCATCTGGAATTCCATTTTTTAGTGTCTAATTCTGGTCAAAATTGTTCTTTTTTTCCTTCTTTTCTTAAAAATAGTCTCAAAATCACTTTAGTTGGAGGGGGAGTTGGACTTGTTTTCTTGCTCTTGTTGTCAGGTTCCCTTACACTATTGGGCGTGGATGTCCAGGCCTTGTCCACCAGTGCTGTGGTCAATGGGGGTCAGAAGAGGGGGGCTCTGTGCAGACATGGTCATTCCTGGGTGAGGGGGGGGTCCTCCGTGCATCAGCATGGCGGGGTGGGGTGGCGGGGGGCCAGGAAGGTAGGGGTGCAGAGGGGGTCCGTGCCGCAGCTGGGACAGGTGTGGCATCTGAGGAGGAGGTGGAGGAGGGTAAGGTAGCGGTGCCATGCTCATGCCCATAGGACCACTCTGAGGTACGAACTCCCCTGGCATGCCCTGCAGACCTGTAACACAGACAGAGAGAGAGAGTCAGCAATCCTGCTTACACACGGTTCTCACACACTGCTATGAGCACATTCAGGATGACAACACTGATGTAACAAAAACCTTCTACTTACAAAATGATACACTTTACAGAAGAAGATAATATGTCCTCAAATTTTAATGTGCAGTACCATGAAAACTCTTAATTTATTTCATTTCTAGCCAAAACATCCATTAAGTACAAGTTATTCTTTTCATTTTTTGGGAGATATTTCTGAAAAGGTCTGACATAGGAGAAAAAAATAACTCCTTTTCATAATGAAGGTGAAAATAAAAGGAAAATAATTTAGGGATTAAAAAAAGGCAGATGCTATTTACACTAAATGCAAATAGAATGATGTTGCTATATACACTTGTAAATAGCATAAATTTACTAGTTACACCTACTCTTCAAAGTAACATTGTGATATTTACACTTACATAATTATATGCTATTTTATATTCTGCTGATTCAGCACTGTTAGCCTATATTTCAGCAATAAAATTATTCTGCTTTTATTCTAAGCTGTACTTGAGGTCATTCTTACCAACCTCTCTCTTTCTCTTTCTCTCTCTCTCTCTCTCTGGGTTACTGTCCTTGTTTGATTTGTTACTGCTATTGCTTGCGTCTGTATATGTGCATTTCTTAAAAAACAAATTTGTCACATGACTATTAAAAGTATGTTTTTATTTTGCTTGCAACAATTTGATCTGAAGAAGTAATTAATATTTTTTTTATTTAAGACAGTAATAATGGAGAGTATTTAGAAATATGATAAAAACACATACCCATGACTTCATTAAAGTTTTAAAAAGACTTATCTTTTTTAGCTATAATGCTAAAACAATAGCCCTTTTTACACGGATGGGGAATTAGCCTCTGTTCTTAAACATGTAGAGCAGAGGTGTTATCCACTACACTATACCAACCAGCATCATTCCAGTGTCCTAAATAATAAAATAGATATTGGACTGATATTTAAATTAATTATTCATTGAATGCTTATGTGGATTGAATGGAAAATTGCACTCACTTTTGTTCTGGTTAATACTAAATAACCTAATAATTTTTGTTAATGGAAAGTATGAAATTTACAACAAAAATAGGCATTTTGGTGTGCTTTAGTCACATGATTTACTAGGCGAAGTTAATGCAAATAGCCACACTGTGTGGTTAATGCTATTTTCACTTAGAGTAAACAGATACTGCCTCAAAAAAATTTACAAGATATAGAGAAAATGAGACTCCTAACAACAGCGAATAAGCTGGTAGACCACCAAAACTGTTCCCCTCATGTAAGCATAAGCTGTCACCAGAGAAAAAGCTTCATTCTTGCTTTAGATCTAAAATAAATCTACAGGTTTTTTTTTAATCCATCCATTCACTATGAGAAGAAAGCTCAAAGCCATAGGTCTGAAAGGATGACATCTGGGATATGGAATGGGGTTTTATTGGCTCATAGGTTTAAATTTGTAATTGGGGTTACTTGAATTGTGAAAAGCAGAAAATGCAACCAGCTTCTAAGACCGGATTTTGGAGGTGTGGAAATTTTCTTCAAAAAAACTAAAAGCAAGTTTTGGCTAAAAACTAAAAGGCAAAGTGTGGACACATTAAATACTGAAAATTTTAATGTTATATTTAGTTGTTGAGGCGTCTGTGTAATTTTCTTTTAAATATATATCTTCTGCTTTTTTCTCCTCATGCTGATAAATGTATAATTTGTGCTTAATGGATGTTTTGACTAGAAATTAATGGAATTAAGTGTGGTCCCTGACTTCTGCACAATGCTATTAATGTAACAGTTAAGTTAATGTAACAAGATTTTAATGCAGTTAGTATCATTTCTGTGAAATTCTCATATAATGTATAGTGCAGGTGGCATTTTTGTAACAGTTTTAAAAAAAGTGTAGTTACAAGGTTTCAATATGACAGCTGATACTTCTCCAACACAGTGGCCTTTCTCTACATGAAAATCCACACTGACCATTGAAATACATGTGATTAAATGAGGAACACACAGCAAACCCCTATCAGTGGGCCTGCTCATATAGCACATTCATGAAAAATTACACTGCAGCATTTCAGTAGCGAGTGGGATATGGTCAGCCTGATACATTCCTGGTCAGTTCTCATGCCGTAAAGTGATCTGCATCCATCCAATGTCATTACAAGCTCGCAGGATGTGAAGAAACAAGCTAAAGTAATACTTCAGCATGTAAAGAGGTCAATTCCCCTGCCTGAATTTAGTGAGAAAGAGAGCAGCTCGTCTCTCAGGGGGCCACACTGCTGTGAACACATTTGAATTAAACCCCTTTAAGAAGTTATTCAATAATTTAGGTCTCAGTTAACTATCACAACATGCCAAGCTAAGAATAGTACACAATGTATGCTTTTCTCAACAGGAAAACCTTTAAAGTGAGCAAAATGAGCAGCTGTCAAACTGGGGGATATGGTATGGGTGGTTGAAACCTTAGCCAAAGCCCAGAGAAAGACAGAGAACAAGCAAGAAACAGAAAGTACCCAAACCCAGAGGGGTTAAAAACTTGTATTCTTTTTACAATTTGCTTAAATCTCTGCTGTGGTGCATGCTGAGACTTGGAGGACAATAACTATGACTTGCATTGCATTCTGCAGCATGGGTTGCAGGTATGGGTGTGGACCAAGTCTAGACCCTAGGAACGGGCTTGAGGAGCTGCAGGCGGGGCCAGAAGCAGGCCAGGGGACAGCAGAGGCCTGGACTTCACTGCTTTGTAATGTGAACCCCTGGGGGATTAGCAACGGCCAGTTAAGGCGGGGGAAGAGGGGGTCGCCCCAAGGTCACTAGGCATGCTCACTCTCCGCATTCCTCTACCTTGGTACACTGCAATTAAGAAATTACACAGGAGGGCCCGGCAGGGGAAAAAAGAGCAGCAAAGGGTGAGATTAATGGCCGATATCGCCGGCTGAAAGCCATGCCATTTTCTAATACTCACTTTCCACCTAACTTCATTTCATTCAAATGCACATGTTTGTTAAAGCGGTCTTTTAAAAGCACACTATCGGGGTCATAAAAAAGTAAATCAATCTAGCCGGAGAGGGCAGGAGGAGTGCACTCACCTCCATATAACCTAGAGCAGCTCCTGTTAAAAGGCCCAGCAGATGTTTTTGACACTGTAAGCTGGTAATCTCAAGTCTTGTAAGCTGCAGTCATTCTGTTAAGTAGATCTGCGGGCCCCCTTTATTAACAGGAGTGGTAAAACCATCTGAAGACAATAATGCCGCCTCGACTGGCCTACTCTCTCTGCCTGCTCCAGCAGAGCAGTCGCCTCAATGGCTGATGATAATTAACTACCAAATATACCATATTGTGTGGCTGCGTAATCAAATCAAGAGAGGGTAATATTCCTCTGTATTAAGCTATTAATGTAATTGGTCATGAAGCATAAAATATGTTATGTAATTAAATAGTCTAGAAATTATATAGCCTATATTAAGAATTATCCAAGCTGAGCAAATGTTGTCTCTATGTGGCTGTTTTAGGGAACATTGCTCTCCGCGTTTTTGACTCCATTAGCAGTGGCGTTGAGATGGGGGGTGGGGGGTGGGGTGTGGGCTTTGTCAGGAGAAATGCCATGGTGACCCTTTTGAAAATCTGCTGCCTATTTACATATAAAGGGTTCTTTTAATCAAGGTAAGTGTTATTATATTGTGCCTCATTGAGCAGAGGAGTTTAGGTGTTAAATAAAATTTCCTCTGCCCCGGCGCCTTTGGGATGTGATACGTCTTGATTTCTCAAATGTCAGTGCCACAGTGCTGGCGGGAGGTGTAATGGGTGTCTTAATCAGGCAACGGCCATTTAGCCTCAGAAAGAAAGAAAGAGAGAACGGGCGAGGGAGAAATCCAGTCCTTTATATGCAGTCATTCTTTAATGTCTCCGTCCCTTTGAATTTATCTCAGCATCTCTCCTGTCTCTGTGTCTTATGTTGGGACTCTGTGGCCCCCCTCTTCCCTGTAAAAAATAATCAAAACACACGGGTCCCCCCCAGTGAAGGATCGGCCGTGTCACCCCCGGCCCGTATATCTCGCCCGGGGACCGTAATGTACTGCGGCGTTCCCGTCTTTGCATATAAGATAATTTGGGCATCAATCCTTCCCCAGACAGATTTATGTCACTCCGAGGACAGTTTCACTTCTCCTTCTTTATCGCTTCACTGGAGCCTGCTTAATTTCTCCCCGTCAGCCCCTGCCCCTGGAGATGTTATTTTTTCCCTAAATGTCCAACATTTGCATTGGCTGCCGGAGATGGGGAGAGTGATGCCGCTGTTGTGATAAATAAATTTGCAGCCAAGACTTTTCTCTCTCATTTTTTTTTTTCTGGCGTCTGGCGCCACAAGTCCGCTCCTCTGGGGACATCAGGGTGGGCATCACAGTATGACACTTCAGAATACTTCCTTTTCTCCCTTTAGACCTATAAAATAGGATCACCCAACGCACTATGTGCAGAGGAATGAGGGTTGTGTTTGCCGCTATTTTAGGGTCGGTATCATGGGGATCCTAACCAAAGAAAACAGAAGGAAAAGCTAAGAAAAAAGCGCAATTGTACTTACTTCCCCCTTTTCATTGAGTTTTGTTTTACAAGGTGGGGGTTACATGTAGTGCCATTGCCCATCCATGCCCATATTCATCCCCATTCCAGTCATAGGCCCTGAAAGAGGAGAGAAACACCACAGAGCGATATGAGTCACAGATAGTGAGAATATAGCCCGACACTAAAGAAGGACAGGTACAGTAGGAAAACAGCAAAGATGCAAAAGAAAAGTGAGCAAGCCGGTGTATTCTACCCTGTTGACTGAGATTTGTCCTCATGTGCTTGAGATAAATAATGAATGTGTTTAGGCAGGCAGCAGGCATGTAGAGGCTGTAATGGCATGCTAGAGGAGCACAGGGGTCAAGGAACTAAACCGGAACTAGCGATGGCCATCACAGTGGTTAGTAAGTGGGCATCAGGTGATCAGATATAGACTTACCAGCTGGCCGGATTCCCATGTGCTGCTGGCCGTCCAGCACAAAACTGCCCATGGGCTGGCCCTCTGGACTGTACGCTGCTCCCTGGCTCACTGAAGGATCAAGAAGAAAACCTGATTGTAGTCAAAACGTGGACATGAGGGGGGAAGAAGAGAAGACATACCAGACAATCAGCAAATAGCCCAGTTCCAGCCCAAACATACTGCAAGACATTCATGAGTCAAAGGCCTAGCATGCAAACATGGAGAGCCAAACCAGTACACTCACACATACATTCATTAGAGAACAAGAGCACTAACACACTCTTCCCTGATAAACAAATTTACCTACAAACTGGCAGACTTAAAATTCAGTCATGCCAGCAATCCAGCATCTTCATGTTCAGTTAAATTACTGAAATCTTCTTCTGTTGTTGACCTTTACCAAATATTGTTGTACTGAGCTAAAAGGATTGGCCATGCATCGGGGGGATTGACTGTGTACAGGAGGTACCCTCTGAAGTGAGCAACAAACAGTGTATGTCAGGACTAAAGTGTATTATCCCCAGTAATCTATAAGCCCAGAAGATTAAGGGAAGCTGTTAGTCATGCTGTCTTTGGGAAGTTTGCTGATTGTGACAGTTTCTAAGCATGCTTTCAAATATTCACAACATATCCAAGGCACTGTAGCTGCAGCAGTTTCAGCAAATCTTATTCCAATAATCGCTTCACTTCATTTATATAACCTCCATCCCGATTTGTGGACTCTGTGGACCAAATATTGTAGCTATAAAATCACCACAGAGATTTCTACTGTTAAGACTAATTAATTGCTGATCATTTTACTGAGATCTCAGTGGCTGCGGCATACATTCGTGCAGAACTTTGTGGATTACAGAGTGGCATTTTTATGATCTCATCGCATCATGCTTTTTGTCATCTGGGCCTTTACAAGATATGGCAAATCAACGTGTAATCAATTTACAATGTCTAATCTTTTTCACCCATTTACAAGAATAGTAAATCTGCCCATACCTGTATCCTGGAGGCAGAAATCAAAATTAAATCAATAAACACAAAACCCTCTGCTTCATATTTCGAAAATTAATTAATTACCACAAATTACAAGGAGCATATCAAGAAGAGATACTTAAAATGCTCCTAGCATTCCTGTAAAGTCCTCTTGTGGCCAATTAGCATTTCACAGAGAATGTGTGCTAATGTACCTCTAACAAGCTAGATTGGGAAACATCTAATTAGAGCCAATCAGCTAACATGCTTGGTCATATTGGAACATGTCCCATAGAGAACACAGAAAAGCGGAGGATGGGAAAGGGAGGAGGATCTTGCCCCGTAATGGCAGACTGTGCGAATGTTTATCTGCCAAAGACCTGACAGGAATAGAGAGCAGAGGGAAAGAAAGAGGCAATAGCTTTACCTGCTCGATTTGACTGGTCAATCATGGGCTGTACTATTCTTCTTCTGGCATTAATGAACCTGGGAAAAAGAAGAGGAGACAGACGAAAAGACACTTTAAATCACCTTGCCATTAAAGGAGACAAATATTCATTACAGACCACAATAAAGACAAAGCCATTTGCATGACTTTATGGCCGCATTAGCAGCTAGCTCCTTGAAAAGCAATCAAAACGATGAAACAACAACAAAAGAGCGATTGTGCTCAGGCTTGGGAGCCCGACAAGGTATCCTTTTTAATGTCCCTTATGATGTATTCTTTTAGCGTAATAAAGCTTCTGATTACTTTTGGTAGCTATGGCTACTCTACAGACATTCCACAAGCATTACATGTAGTTGTGGTGAGGCCACTATGCAACTGACACTCTGAAACTTCTAGGACTGCATCTTCACACCGCCCCCCCAGCCCCCTCGAAACCTCCCAGCCCCTCTATTTCTCTCTCATGCACATAAACATTATTCTTGGTGGGTTATCACTCATTAGAAATTCAGAATAAGTTAAAAGTTTGTGAGGGGCAAGACACAAATGGTTCTTTTCAGCCTTTGACTCCCCCTTTCTCTGCCCCCCTCTCTGGCTGCATTGTAGGGGGCTCTGCTCCCCTTCCAGCTGTCTTTAAACGAGGACCAGGCATTGCCACTCGGTGCTTTCACAAGGTATTGTTATGTCAGCAAGCCCATCAATTAGGCTGTCTGAAGTTTTATCACCACCGCAGCGGCAAATAAGTGCAGTTCCACAAAGCCTCCCTGGCCCTGCTCTCTCCTGCCGCTTTGGACTGTAAAGCTTGCGGGGTCATCAGGAGGTTAGTGCCAGCCAGGGGAACCCTTTCTTCCAGTCAGAATGGGACGCCCAGGGCTGTGTCAAAGGCAAGCTGGCCACTCTGTGCTCAAAGAGACTCCCTTCCAACTGCACAGAGGAGTTAAAGCTACAGGTACCAACATGTGTTTGATATTAGAGGGAGGTTTCAAATCATGGCGGGGCTATCCTGAACGAAAAAAAGGGAGGGGGAGTGGACATAGCCTAACACACCAAGGGCAATGCTAAAGGACTGGTCATTAGATGCAAGGAGAACTGGAATCAATTTGGGTTTCTAATCCCTCATGAACCCCTGATACCTGCCCTTACCTTCTCCTATTAACTTAAATGCCCGTAATCTGGGCTTTCAAAGTGACATGTTTAAATTTACAAAACACACAGTTGGGAAAAGAGAAGGCTGGCTCATTTGCCCGAGTGCACTGAAAGTTCTTTTGGTTTTCTTTTCAGTTCCAGAGCGAGGGATGAGAGATTCGAACATGAAAGAGAGAAACGGCGGGTATTAACAGAGGGCACGGTACTGAGGGAGGGCAATTAGAAACCCACAGAGGCACAGGCATATTTAATTTTAGTATATCACAGAAATGATTTCGCCTAGATGTGCAGGGTCTAATATTAGGTACTGAAATCTGTTTTAAAGCACAGTCGTCATAATGATCCATTTGTGATAGCTGAAATCAAAGGCATGAGTCAGGTCTTCTCTGAGGTTTGTCTTTGTTGTCAAGAATGCCACTGTGCCTGTGGCAAGGTGGAGATTCAGCCGCCGGCATCAAAACCAGCTGAGCAAGTAAACACGGAAAAAATCCCCCCTATCAGGATTTTCTGGGCAGACAGCAAGAACGAGGCTTGCCAAACTCCGTGTCTTGAGCGCTGTCTTAAAGAGAGTGCTCAAAGGCTCAAATCAGAACCATGTGCACAACCTCCCGCCCTAGATCCGGACCATAAACACGTAATGTTAGGAATGTTCCTCCCAGGTGAAGAATATGCCCACTTACTATCAGAGCGTATCAAAGCTCACCACTATACCTACAGCTAAAGAACCAATCACAAACACTTCAGCTAGTAGGGGGTTTGATTTGGAACTTGCACAGATTTTTTCTTTATTAAAACATAACCTATTACTATATTTGATGGCATTTTTGGCATAAAGGTATAAAAAATATCATGTTGAACAAAACGCGAGATGTTTGCACAAGCATGCCACACACGAACACAAGTTATTCATGTATTTCTTTAACAGCTGCCACCAGGACTGACCCCTTCATGTCAACGCTGTCCCCATCGGCCACATCTTTGCACATTACAACACACACACACACACATACACACACACACACACACACACACACACAGAGACCACAGCGTCTGTTTTCCCTCTCCAAACTGTTGCCACAGTAACGCAGCGGGGGCTGACCAGGGCCCACTCCTGCCCCCAAAGCGCCTTTTATCAGTTTGAGTAAAGCCAATTGAGATTATCAGAGCTGGGCCTGATAACACTGTTTTCCCTCCTCCCATGAGCTGCTAATGGGGTGTGCTTAGAACAACACCCGCACCAAGCCTCCAGAGAGAGGCAGCTCGAGCTGGCACACTGGAGCTGGGGCCTGCTGACACACACTCGCACTCGCGCTCACACCAGGGACCCAACCGCAACCACCACCTCCCTGTGCGAGTCCCAACTGTGTAACCAGCTCTGGACCACGAGCAAAGACCAGGGTCCTTCCAAACTCTTACCACTATATTTTATTATTTACATCTGGTAGAGTGCTTATTATAGCCTGAGCCTGCATAGCATTATATACCCTCTCACTTCTACTCCCCTGCTGAACATTCCCCTGTGAGCACACTGACTGGTATTATCACCCCCCCATTCCCTCCACCCAGCATGGGAACTCCATGCTGTCTTCAAACAAATAATTAAAGCCTAGGTGAAGGGGTCACTGAAAGGTCATTTCTCTGGATACTCTACAGAATGTGTACATTACTGCAGGAAAAAAAGACTGGCTGGCAGTGTTCAATGTGTGGGCCAACAGCTTTTACAAATCAACTGAGGAATGAATTAAGCAGGGAAAAGAAAGAAAGAAAATAACATTACATGCCCAGAGCTTGTGTGTTTGCGCATGTATTGTTGTGTGCAGAAGTTTGAACACCCTCAGTTAAATTACATTTTGTTTATTTTCAAAGGGACAAGGGTTAATACATCTTCTACAGGGAAGAGACTTAAATGTGGCATTTTAGTGCACAATTTCTATTTTTTGCAAGTTTAACACATTGGTAAAAAAGCCTAAAACAGATAATGTTTGTTTAGGTTTTTTTAAATATGTTAAATTAAGCATATACACAGTAATTATGCGTTAAAGTGTGTTATCTGTAGAGGATGTGCACTTATTTTCACACAGAAAAATAATATAATAACAAACAAACAAAACAAAACATGTTATTTGACCAGTACACAAATCTATGTGGTCAGAGACAGACATGCAGGGATAGAAAACAATCTTTGTTGTAGTAAAATGTATCTGCAGCTAGCCTGGGTCTTTTTGAGGCGGGGGGGGGCAGTTACGTTCCTTTCCTGCAACAGACAACATGAGCGTGAAACTTGTCTTCCTTCATCCGTCACGCCCTGTCAGTGGATCACTTTCACAGCCCACGTCGGAACGAGAGATTTAGAGCAGCACAACACATAGACCACAACTGCTGCAAATATGAATAATGGAGACAGAACTGCAGGAGTCCACTTGACCTCACTCTACCGTGGAGCTGCATCAACACTCGATCCCTAGCCAGAAATCTCAACTCAAACAGCCCAAGGGGAGCTCGGCTACATCCAGGCTGGACTGTGTGTTAAAGAGGTAGCTGGGGGACTAGAAACCATGCCATAGTTCCTCCTCTTGCTCTATAAGGACTAAAATCAACTCCTCCTCTGTCCTGCTATACCGCAACGCATGGAGCAGCACTGTAATATTATATGGGGGAGTTTTGCAATGGCAGTATTGCTGAATCACTAGACTGCCTCAGTGTTAGTGCCGGATGATATATCGTCTATATCAGTATGCCGGTATTGGTGTAACATAATAATGATTTTTAGTTTTATCAAGGTAAAAGAGGTAAAAGAACCCTAAACATAAAAGTAACCTGCAATTTATGTCGTTTGCTGGGAGGGACTGTTTGAATGAACAGTGCAAAAAATCTAACTAAATAGTTTCCTTTCTGAAAATTGGGTTTCCATCTAGTTAACATTTACAATACTGTAAACCCTTAACTGGTGTTATTTTAAAACAAGTAGAACAAAATAAAACAGTCCAAGTAAAACAAATTATGTCAGGTTTATAAGACATACTTTTAGATTTACTTGTGCTCAAGAAGCATGGCTTCCTAACGTTTATCAAACAGCATGATATATTTTGGAATATATCATAATACTGAATTTTATCGCTACCACCCTGTACTACTTAGTGAGCGTAGTACTTTCTCTGCTCAGTCAGACCGAGAGAGCAGAGTGATCTGTAATGTGGCCACACCTGGTAACTGGCTCCTGTTGTCAGTATTGCTGCCCTGAGAAAGCCCCATGCCAAACCACCCTGCCCTGGAGCCCAGCCAAGAGAAAACAGCCAACCAATTGCAGGGGAGCAGCCCCGGGAGCTCAGCCAATCAGGGCCAGGGTCACTTGTTTGACGAGTTTGCAGTGACGGAGCGAGAGGACCCAGCGTGATCACGTTGCTCTGAGGAAACTGGCTGCATGCTGCCGCTAGCTTCACTGCCTGGAGAGCAGAGCTGAGGTTGGAGCTCTTGAGCACTCTGGCTAAGAAAGCTTTAGCAGCCAGAAGCATGCGCAAATGCATGTGCAAAATGCTGTTGAGCTCTGTAGTAGGCTTCAACAGCCAGAAGCATGCACAAATGTGCAAAAACAAGTGTGCGCTGCATAAAGATCATGCCAGGCCAAAGGCTCAGGGAAAGGATCTGTACTCTAACAAAATTCCTCAGCTTTGCTTGTGCAATATTCAGCACTCTCAGACTAAACCAAACCCGCTCACTGATTATAGTTATGAGAACATCACCATCTTCTGCTTCCAATTTAATCTCATTGCTTCCATACCTCTGTTTTTGGGCAGAAAATCCTAAACAAAACTATTTAAGTCACTCCTCAGTGAGATGAAAAAAGACGGACATGGCTCTAGGGAGAAAAACAGCTCTGGTGTCAACTTTGACCTGG